TGATGCAAAATGACAAAAATGGATATGTATAATAAATGCTGCTCTTACAACGGTGTAATGTTTAGCAGTTGGCTATGTTTCAATGTTCGCTACGACCAGTAATCCCTTAACTGTGACCTTTAAAAAAAAGAGAGATTTTTTTTTCTACTCAAATGCATAAATCAAATAAAAATGGAATAACTATTAAATATTCCTTACACAATTGCTATATTGTTCTGTTCCTTTGAGAATTGTAGTATACAAATATATATCTTGGGGAAAAAAAGAAAACCTTCATCATCTTAAATTTCATTGTAAATGGCTTTTTGCTACCTACGTCTATTTTTCAACGTAAAATAATTTAAAAGGCCACGATTGATTGGTCTGTCAACTATTTCAGCTAAACTTAAACTATTAAACACTTTCGGAGTAAATATATTTAGAACACTTACTGCACAAAAGGTAATTGTCTGTGTTTAGTTCCTCATTAAGTATAACACTACTTTAAAAAATAAATAAAAGACATAAAATTGTGAAGAAATCTGGTCTAATATTATTGACGTCCCAGCTTATGTAATTTTAAACTGATAACTTTCCATTATATAAGCTATTTTGCACTTTTTTAGACAGATGTATAGTGACAGTGATTTTTTATTATGACAAAAATATGAAGACATCATATATAAATGGATTAGAAGCACTGTTTTAAAAATGTTATTTAAATATTCAATTAAGAATATATGTTATTCCGACAAGTAGATTAATGAACTACACTAGTCCCCATTATTGCCCACCTCACACCTACTTCCCAAATCTTTCTTAAAAATTTTATATTTGCTTTACTAACAAATGAGCTGTTGATCTTTGGTAATAGATGATTTATATAATTTGTTATTCAAGTACCTTTTTTATCCCAAAAGTGTTACGGCAGAACTATTCAACCTCAATATTTAAATAAATCCATGTTTAAATGTGTTACAGTGGGATATAAAATGATTTAATTCCCCTGTCCCAATGCAGGAGACATAAGTCCACATCATTATTTATCTCTAAAAGTGCAGTATGAGTTTACCCAAGTACAATGTAAAATGAACATTTAAATAAGGGCTAAGGGGTGAATTCTCTCTATTTGGGTTACTGAATAAAAATTACTTCATTGCTATACAGTAAGTAGAGTATATATACCCTTATTCTGCTAAGAGAGTCCAACCCCAAGTATGTAAAAATTTTACTTTTTAGTCATGACACTGGCACAGTTATTTACTAAATTTCGAATTGTAGCTAGCCAAAATCTGAATAAACCCACAAGTGTGGCACCCCTGATATCACGTAACTCTCCATTAATCCTAACTTAAAGAAAAACTTGAATGTACTTTGCGTGCATTGGTATCATTAGCAACAAACCAGGTTGCTAATAACGTAATCCTGATTTGGCTACATTTAAAGCAAAACGGAGCTACATTATAAATCATATCCACATACTTTTACAGAATTTGTCAAAACATTTTCAGAATGCAATAAAAAAGTTCATATTGTTAACTGCATCATGAAAAGACATCAATATTCAAATCTATTCTAATCCAGCCTAGGAAAGTCTGATGCACGTTTGATAGTGGAGCAACTATTTGCATTTCTTGTATTTTTTGTTGTTTTTTTTGCAATATGATATCAGCAAAATTATTCAACGTGGAAGCATTTGCAGTCAACTTACTAAACTAAACTAACTTAAACTTACTAAAGGATTCTTTCAAAGTAAAGAAAACATCTTATCTGGAAAATGAAAGTAGTACCGTGATTACTTTTTCTGTAAGTATTGCAATCTGTGTAGTCAAATTTAGGCCCAAAAAAACAAAACAAAACAAAAAAAAAAACATAAAAAAGTACAAACATCACAAGGACAAATTCCACTGAATACACAGTAAACTCTGCTTATGTGCCAGTTAAAGAGAATGTTTTACTATAAATAAACAGCAGATAATTTAATTGCTGGGGATAAGGTGGTCTGTAAAGTCATTTTACGCACACTGAATCGCACCTGAAATTAGAGAAGGTTAAAAATGTGTTCTTGTTTTTAGTTCCCCCCCCCCCTTTAATTCAAAGTGTTTTGACCAGTATTATATCACCAAAGCTAAACAGCAAGATGACATTTAAGAAAGTTTTGGCTAACTATGTGACCTTCAACAGGCAGCCAAGAAAAAAAAAGAGTTAAAGTCGGCCACAAAAACCACATCACATTTATTTTTTTGTTCAAAGCAGATTTAAATATAAATAAATAAAATGATGCACACAAGTGTAAAGATATGGTATTAGAGCAATTGACAAATTTTATGGAGAATTTCTTTTTTGTTGTTGTTAATGTTCACATTTCTATGTGTATGCAATCCCACCTAATGTAAAATAAATAAATAAAATAATATATGTAAATGTTGAAATCTACTTTGTGTTGACATTAAATGCCCATTATGCTGCTGACTTTGAAAATTATAGAAAAATAATCTAATACAGATAGCAATCTATTAATGTTACAATTTTAAAAAATAACCACGTGCTTTAAAAGTGTAGTAATAATTCTAAGGGGTTCTCCCACCAAAAACACTTCATGACAGTCAGTTGGTCTCTTTGACAATATTAAAGTAAAGTATTTTCTCTTTAACCAGTTAATCTATAATTATAAATAAAACTAGTCGATTTAAAAATAAGTAAAATACAGCAACGTAAAAACAGACGTTAGAAAAAAGCAGTAAGGATCACACAACCTGACTAAAAAATGCAGTGTGTGATGTGGAGTTCTTTTACTAGCATAGTACTGTACAAGTCAACATTCCATTTAATATTAATGTAGTACACCAAAAAATATTATCATTATTAAATTGTAGTAGGATGTGATGACCTGAGACTACCCCAGATTATAAATACAATGTCCTTGTGTCATGATAATTATTTCTCTACAGTTAGAGAGAGAGACTAGAGGTCAGCAGCTAAAAAGACTGAAGCGTTCTACTCTATACTTCTCTGCACTTGGATAACAGTGTGCATCAAAAAGCATATAACTGTATATATATATATATATATATATATATACACACAAATATAACTGTGCATATAATTATATATATGCATATATATATATATATACTCATATAACTGTGCATTTAACTGTATATATATATATATATATGTTTATATATATATATATATATACACTCATATAACTGTGCATATAACTGTATATTATATTATACATAATAACAGTGTGCATCAAAAAGCATATAACTGTATATATATATATATATATATATATATATATATACACACACAAATATAACTGTGCATATAATTATATATATGCATATATATATATATACTCATATAACTGTGCATTTAACTGTATATATATATATATATATATGTTTATATATATATATATATACACTCATATAACTGTGCATATAACTGTATATTATATTATACATACATACGCACACACACACACCCACATTTGTATCCCAGAGAGATAAAATGTTTGGGATGTATGCACTGATATATGCATTTAATATATATGTTGGTGTATACACACACAACGAGAGAGTGTACACTCGCTCACAAACACACACTTAATTTTAAAGAAAAAGATAGTACAGTGTGCATCAGCTTTCTACACACAAAAATCTCATGTGTATAAATGTGTATACGCACATGATGCGCTATATCTATATATTTGGTGACACTATACTTCCAAATAGATTACTGTAATTTCTTCTAGGACCTTCTAAAATAAAAGGTGATACATAACATTAAATATCACTGTATCCTAAAACTTGCTTAACAAATTCAACTAATACAAAACAACCACATTTAAAGAATTTTTTTGCAAAAAGATTATGAACTTGGAATGTTGGACAGAGGATCTACCTCCTAGTCAGTATATGGCTTATCAGTTGTTATCTTTCAATGAGTATATGAATGTAAGACTCTTCATTAATGTCTTGTTGTAAATAATATTAACTTTAGGTGGACAAACTAAATATTGCTCCAGTGGAACTCTAATACCTAGTCTTATACAAATAGTGCCATTCATAATCCTAAAGTGTGATTTGTAATACAAATTTAAGTGCAGGGAGGGAAATTACTCTTGCTAATATGATAGTTAATGAATACTAGGTACCAAAATAGTGCATTCAACATCTTCATGAAAAAGATTCTCCTTCATAGTACAGGTTTCTCTTAGGGTGAAACATCTTTAAGACGTAGAGGAAGTAAGGAAATGTGATAAAAAGATATGCTAATAGATAAAAAAAAAAAAAACAACACTTTGTTACACTAGTTAGTTATATTACATAGGCCAAGTAGCATAGCCTTTCAAATTAATGCTAATGACATAATTTCAATATTTGAATGAATTATAATCACAGTAACATTCTCTGACCCTTGTGCCCTAAACAGGAAAACTATGTCTTGAAGGCAAATCAACTATTTCTATGTAACTACTGTAAAAACTATGATAGGAGGTAATTGCTGCTGTCCAGTGCTGCACCTTGTAATTGAATTGTATTGTGCCTTGTCAGTGGTACTACACGTCGGAACGCAGAATGGCTATGTACTATCTCTTCTCCTCTTACACCTGTCATGTGTAAGAGGAGTAAATAAGTGATGGGATGAGAGGACACAGTCAAGTTTGACATATGAAAAACAAACAAACAACTTTTATATAAAATGAGAATTTGTTGGGTTGTAAACACATGGAGGGATGAATATCTGAAAAGTTGTGCACAATTGTAAAAGTGGAGCAACCACTAAAGAATGTTATTGTTTCCATTAGTTTCCTTGGTGACTGAAGCAGTTTTAAAACTTTGCACCACTTGTCAGAGCGTAACATAAATAAATCTCATGCAATCAAACTGCACGAGTTTCAGTGTAAATATGAAAGCAGTAGCATGTTACATTTAGTTGGCATAGCTATGCATTGTCAAAAAAAAAAAAAAAAAAAATTCAGTGTAAAATTATGAAATACAGCACGTGTCCTACCTCATTTCTCCGAAGGCTCCTGGGTAACCCTCCATCCAAGGGGACATCTCACTCTTCATAGGACTGCCATAGGGTAGCCCTCTGCTCAACATTGCTGGTCCTGGGTAACAAGTGTCCGAGGGGAAGTCGCCCTCGGTGCCAGGGGGCACATGACCACGCTGGTAGTTATATAGGCCTGTCTCAGGATAAGAACCACTGGATTGTCCCTCTTCAAATAAAGAGTGCCAGTGGGCAGGTGGGCCACAGTGGGCAAAGCCAGACAGCTCGCTGTATCTGCCCGGTGTCCCCCAGGCAGTGCCAGGGTAATCCATGGCGTTCTCCACCTTGATTCTGCCATGAGGTGCCAGTGCCATCTGAAAGCTGTAATAGTCCCTGCCAGGGAAAGCAGGGGCATCTTCCATGAAGGCTGTGGGTTTATAAAGAGTGAGGCTGGGGGTCAGCTCCATGCCACGGGGTCTGAAGCAGCCGTGCTCTGGCAGTGCCAAGTCTGTACAAGGCTGCTCCTTGTCCTTGGTGCCCATTACTGTGCCATTCTCTGGGGTTTTGCCAGCGGGGAAGTTGATCTGGCTGCTCCTCCTGAAGGCCCCTTCACGGTACTGGGGGGATGAGGTGTCACTCTTGTCCTCCTCTCCCACTTGGCACTTGTGGGTGTCCAGGGGATGAGCAGGCGGCCCGGCGAACATGCAGTCTCCCCTCTGCGCCTCCTCCTCTGAGCTCAGATGCTCCAGCGCTTCCATGGTCAGCCCCAGGGACACGGACACGGCTTTACAGAGCTCCTTGGCGGTGTCAGAGATCCCCTCTGGAGCTCTCGTGTAACTTTCCTTGTGCGGCTGATCTGAGGCTCCTTCCTCGGGCTCCAGCATGCCTCCTCCTTGGCCACCCAGGATCTCTTTGAGCTCGGTGGGACAGCCGCTCAGCACGAGGAATTGGGCTCCCTCCGTCTGAGGACTCCGGGGGGCTTCTCCTGACTGAGTCTCCCCCCAGCTGGGGGTCTGGTGGAGAGCCCTGGGGTCCGTCCACGAAGGCAGAGGCTGTGCTTCTGAAGCTTCACTCCAGGTTGTAGGTGGCGGAGCAGGGGGGTGTGTGCCCCGGTTCTCCCCCCAGGCAGCAGCTGCTTGGGCTCCCTCTGTTAGTGCAGCCGCTCGGCGCTCCCCCTGCAGCGCTTCGCGCACACTCAGGAACAGGTTTTCGAAGGCTCCCCGGATCATCTTCCCGGGAGGCTGCTTGTACACCCCCCCAAGTCCAATGTGTACCTCCATCCCCCGCCCCGGGTCAGGGTGAGTGCCAGAAAAAGTACCCGCCCACCCCTTTATACCGCTCCTGCCCTGGTATAATGCCCACAGGCTGCTCTCTCTCTCTCTCTGGACTGTTCCTGTCAGCCTCTTGGCAGCAGAGTCTCCGATACAAAGTATCTTCTATCCAGCGCTGGAAGATCAGTAACCAGGGAGACAGAACTTCCCGCACAGCCTGCGTTCTAAAACTTACTGTGTGCCCTTCTCTCTGCCCTGAGCGCTCCCTCACTGCAAATCTGGAGCAGAGCTCCCTGGCTGCTGGTTGCTCCCTTGGCAAGTAACAGACTGGACTCCTGACCACTTTAAAAGTGCTGCTTGTGTCAGCACTGTGACAGCTTTCTGTAGCTTGACAGATCTCTGCCACCCAGCTATACAGAGGGGTATTATCTGCACCCACTGCCCCCCTCCTCTACCGCTACGGACCTACTACTAACCCCGGCAGGAGATGCAAAGCACAGGCTGCTGTTAACTTCAACGAGGCCCCAAATCCCGGGAACCAGGCGGGTCCTACCGGGTGGCGTCCCCTCCACCCCCCCTTTCACCCCGGATTGTCGCCAAGTAACTCCCCGGGGCGGGGGCAGTCAATCCGAGGCGGAGGATCAGAGTTGTAAATGAGAGCAGAACATCATAGATGACAAGAAGTATAGAGGCAGCATAGGATAATGGGGTGTAAAGTGTGAGGTAGTGGGGATACAGACACCATATTGGGGTAGAGACAGTATGGGCTCAAGAGGTGTAGTGACAGCATGTGGTAGTGGGGTGCAGATAGCATGGGGTAGTAGGGTATACTGGGAGAATGGGGTAGTAGAGTACAGACAGCATGAGTTAATTGGGTGCACAGACAAAATGGGGTAGTGGGGTGTACAGACAGCATGGAGTAGTAGGGTGTACAGACTGCATGGTGTAGTGGGGTGTATGGACAGCATGAGGTGTACAGACAGCATGAAGTAATGAGGTGTACAGACAGCATGGAGTAGTAGGGACAGTACTAGTTATTGGGGTGTCTACATACAGTATGGATTGGCAGGCTGTACACATAGCATGGGCTAATGGGGTCCACCGACAGTATGGCCTAGTGAGGTATATATCAGTTGGCTAATGAGATGTACAGCAAGCAAGGGATAGTAGGGTGTACAGAGAGAGTGAGCTAGTAGAGTGTCTACAAACAGTATGGGTTAGTGAGGTGTATGTATAGCCCGTGTGGACACATAGGCTTTGGTGTACATACATTGTTACAGTCAATTGCTACTGTCAGTCCCTGTGGGCCAGAGGCTCGTTGTCCAATATGACTGTCAGTTCTGCCATATTATTCTAATTAATAATAATAAAGAACCAATATATTTTGCAATGTTGGATTAGGTTTTTGCAACAACCAAGCAAGAATTTTCATAATTCTTGACTTAATATTTCTGTTGGGATCATTCAGTAAAACTAGCACAAGATAATTCATTATTTAGATTCTTGCATTAAATCATTCATAATCTTTCTTTCTATGCAAAAGCCTAAATGACAGTAATGATCTATCATATTGGGCTTGTACTCCTAAAGCTATAGCGTAACACACACATACAATGATTTCTGTGTACGTTAGTGTAACTCCTTTGGATTAAAAGTTAGTTGTATTTATTGTTTACCCTAATTCCATATCTATCTATCTATCTATCTATCTATCTATCTATCTATCTATCTATCTATCTATCTATCATCACATGCAAATTCCAACACACTCATTCATCCATCAATAAACCGCAATTTAAAGCCTCACAGAATGTAATACTTTAATTTTAAAACAACTCACCTAGGCAAAAATAATGGGGGTTTAGTTACAGCATATGATCATTCATTGCATAAACCTGCCACAACGTCAATGTACTTAAGGCGTATGCAATGTATGATCATACACTGTAACTAAACTGCCCCATTATTTTAGCCTAGGTGAGGTGTTTTTAAATAAAACTATTACATTCTGTGAGACTTGAAATTGATGTTTAATGAATGAGTACACTGGATTGTGTATGCTGTATAAACTGAAGGTTATTGTATAATGTCTATAAATATACAATGCCCTACAAATGAGATGATACTGGCCAATTAGCCCATAAGCATCTTCTGCACTGTGGCAGGAAAGGCTTGTGAGGGCTCAGTTTCAGTTGCAGGGCAGATTAGGTGCATGCAGGTATTAGGTGAGAGAGGCAGGTGTTTTGTTGGCTGCAGATACAGGGCACGTATTTTAAATATGTATGTAGCCAGTCAGCAGAGCCAGATTTACCCTCCTTGCTGTCTGAAGTTTCCTCAATACACCCCTCACCCTCCATATATACATAGATTTAAGCAAAAAGTTTGATGTATGTAACTGGATAAATGCAACTTTTTAAAGTTATGGTTGGATGGTGAGTGGTTGGTTTGATGATAAGTGGGACAAAGTGGTGAGAGGGTGTTGTGTGTATGTAGCGTCTGCTTTTGGGGTTTTGTGTGTGTAGGGGGGATCTGCTTGTGGAGTTGCATGTTAGTGGTTATGGTTTGCATGTGGGTGTGTGTGGATGTTTAATCACAAATGATAAGGTGCACAGTATTTAGTAATGGTGAATGTTCAAACACCTAAGTGGGATCCCCTAACACCACTTCAAAACAAACATAAATTATACATACATTAGGTGGAGCATTAAAGAAATCTGTAAAATGATATAAAAGGTACAACAAATAGTGCAATATGCAATAGATAGGTACTAAATACAATTAAATGAGAATAATCACACTCACAAGCCTGGAACCAAATAAAATCATATGGCTCACATGGAAAGTGCCGAGGGACTCTTAGTAGGATGTCCCCGTCCTTTTGCTGTGACTCTCTCTCAGGTCCTCAGGGTAATGCTGTAAGAAATGGTCCAGACAGCTCCTTATCCAAATAAACGTACCTTATTCCATAAGGTAAAATAGGTAATAAAAATGGATAAGAATGCCCAATAAAATTAATAAAAAGTCTCTGGCTTGTTCCTATGAATCTCCGAAACGCTTTTCGCCCTATAACCAGGGCTTCCTTAGTCGGTATGGTTCTTCCAATCATCCAGGCTTCTGATGGTGGCAGGTATATGTATTAAAAAAGAAAGATAACCAGTAATGGTTACCTTTCTTCTTTCTAACATGTACCTGCCACCATCTTAAGGCTGGGTGATTTACAAGTAAAGAATACTCCAAGCATCTGATATTTTATTGGACTTTTTATTTTGGTGCAACCTGTACATATATTTTGTATCATCTTGCGCTTTATTAATCAGTAAGGGGCTGAGGGTATCCCTTACTACCAGTGGAACCAAATAAAATCATATGGATCACATGGAAAGAGCGGAGGGACTCTTAGTAGGATGTCCTTGTCCTTTTGCTGTGACTCTCTCTCAGGTCCTTAGGGTAATGCTATAAGAAATGGTCCAGACAGCTCCTTATCCATGTAAACATACCTTATTCCATAAAGTAAAATAGGTAATAAAAAATGGATAAGAATGCCCAATAAAATGAATAAAAAGTCTCTGGCTTGTTCCTATGAATCTCCGAAACGTGTTTCGCCCTATAACCAGGGCTTCCTTAGTCGGTATGGTTCTTCCAAACATCCAGGCTTCTGATGGTGGCAGGTATATGTATTAAAAAAGAAAGATAACCAGTAATGGTTACCTTTCTTCTTTATTGCATGTACCTTCCACCATCTTAAGACTGGACGATTTACAAGTAAAGAATACTTTTTATTTTGGTTCAAGCTGTACATATATTTTGTATTATCTTGCTCTATATTAATCAGTAAGGGGCTGAGGGTATCCCTTACTACCAGTGTTTGCTGCCTGCTTACAATTCTATGTATAGTTGCCTTTTAGCACTTATCCTATTTTCTATTATAAGACAAAGTAGGGGCTACTTTGTTTTTTTGTATTTTTCCTACACCTGACACTCCTAGACACTGTGCGGAGCTACTGCCATCAAGAAGTGTCAAGCCCCCGACAGCTGCAGGGAACTGGCTCTGTAAATGGAGGATCCCGGAAAATCGTGGGATCTTCCATAGACCTCAAAACTGGACTCTGTTATGTTGGCTCCTGGCGCTGCTGAAGAGGACCCGCTGGAGGAAGATGGCTGGGCCCGTGAGGGACAGGTTCTGGTAAGTAGAACTCACCTTTCCCTCCCCCCCCCCCTTACTCCCCACCCAACGATGCCTCTGTTGGGGGTCTTTACAAATTCTGCAAAGTCCCCAGATAATGACAGTTACCGCTTTAAGTAACGCTAATGTCTCATATATAACTGTCACTAACTCTCCTATGCTTCCAAGATGGTCTATATTTAACTGAGGTTTAGATACCCTGACTTAGATGCAGGTATCTCCTCTTCTGCGTCTCATAACTGCTATAATCGAACTCCAATGCCTAAATCTAGTTTTATTATGCATTATGCTGTTTTGTTTTGTTTTTTTCAACCACCAGAAACGAAATCTGGTCATGTTTCTACCCCTTTTGGTTTTGACAACATTTGTGGTGTATACAATAAAGGAATAATAAAATTACCTTCTGACATTGGAAATCTATCTACCTATCTATCTATCTATCTATCTATCTATCTATCTATCTATCTATCTATCTATCTATCTATCTATCTATCTATCTATCTATCTATCTATCTGTCTGTCTGTCTGTCTATCTACCTGTCAGTCTATCTGTCTGTCTATATAATGGAGTAAAGAGAATATACCTGGGTTTGGAGACAGAGGCATCCATAATTAAATAGACTGATACAAGAAAAGCAGCAATCCCTGACTGTGGGTTTCAATCCAATGCCTGCAGCACTTACAACAAATTAAAATGCAAGACAGCCCATTAGCTTACCATGTAAAGGGATAATGTGCTTTGAGACAATTGACTGCAAGGTGAAATATACAATTTATAAAATAAAACAAATTCATACATAATTGTGCCAATATGAATAGAGTCGTACAATAAGAATACCGTAAATCAGGTAGAAACTGGACAGCAATTAGTGTACAGTAAATCAAGCTGAGAATTGAGGACAGGCATGTTTGATTGATAAGCGTTTGGAGACCCTTGCTCAATCAAGTCTGCAGTGAAGGTGAGGAGATTAGTGTCAAGTGGAAAAGAATGGCTACTACTTCTGTAGTCTGCATACTTAGTGCCCAGAGTCTGTCTGAATCTAAAAGGGGTAGTAACATTTGAGGGGGTGGGGGGTACTTTAGTGTAAACATGATTTTGAAGTATACGTTATTGTATTTTGATTGTATTATCACTGTTATGTATCTTTTTCAGATTTTCTTTTTTTTTTATTTTTTTTTTTTAAGCTGGAAAATTATTTATTTATTTATTTTTTGCACAGCTACACAAACGAAAATCAGGTGCCTGTTAGATACGCATTAATGGGAAAACATAGCATTATCACAATAAGAGTATGTCAGATACGTACAAATGGTAATTGTATTGTTATCACAATAAGCGAGTCATTGCTACTGCACATTTTAAGAAATTTAACAAATTCTAGGCACAACAGTGTAGTATGTTAAAACAAATGTTTAGACAATAAATTGAACATAGCATGCAATTACAATTAAAGACCCCTGGGCCCCATAGGAACACTGGAAGAGTTGGTGAAGTAAGGGTAACTTCTTAAGTAGTGGCACAAAAGCGTACAATATGCTAAAGAGTCTC